CGCTTTCTGGTATTTCATTCCGCCGTTGCGCTTGATTCGGTCCCTGAGGTTTGCTTGCAGCTGGTTATATCTCTCCAGATGCTCCCAAAGGATCCTCAGCCAGAAGTAGTCATCTACCCACTTTGTCAACGGTCCCAGACCATGTCCTCTGCAGATTTCCATCCCTGCGTCTGCGACGTGTCCGAATACTCCTCCTGACGATGCCAGTCCGAACATATCTCTTATGTCCACACAAAAGTCCTGCTCCAACGTTCGTACCATGATACCTGGCCATTGGGATGGATGTAGCGGGATGGATCAGTATGCTTCAGAGATGTCTCGAACTGCGCCCTGCGAGCCCGGAGGAAGAGTCCATATTAGTCTGCACGTATTAGCGAATGTGCCCCAGAAGCACAGGTATAGTGATGAGTCGATGTGGGAGTTTATGGATGATATGGTTGTGCCAATAGTTGGTATGTACGTTGGCTTGTATGGATATGAAAGGTTTTGTACTAATCTGAATTTGCCAGGCTTTCCGGGTTTGTCAATCATAGCGATCGGGGACGTTTGGAACGGTCCCAGGACGGATTCCACGTCTTCTTGTGAGAACGGGCCTAGCCATCTTCCTGTTGCTAGTTCGTTCGCCATGACCGCATTGAAAGCCTCGCGAGATTCTGGGGTATCTAGTTTATTAGGGGGGGAGAATGTATGGGATATGCGAGGTACGCCGGCTTTGAAGCCAAATAATATAGAATTTGCTAGAGTTGGATACTTGGATGTCAGGTTGAACCTGGCGATCTCCTTCCTCCAGGTGTCTGCCTGGAGAGGAGTGTGTGTTCTCTCCCTACTGCCCTTCAGGGCATCCGTCAGCACTGTGATGGGTGCTCGCACAGCCTGAGCAGCGGTGTTTCTCGACGTGCTTTCTGTTGATGCAGCTGTTTGGCCTTTGCCATTCCATGCATATCTCGAGACCTGTGAACTGACCCGTTGCGATTTCCAGGTATCCCTTGGTATTCCAGTTGCAGAGTACCTCCTTCTTCCCGTTCCAGAGGGAGGTGCGTGTGCATTGTTGAATGTTGTGTTTGTCTCGTCCGAGGCAGCGATGGCATCTGGATAGTTGCGTTTGGGTTGCGTTCCGAAAGGACTTCTGCTGGTCTGGCTCTTCTTCGACTCCGCTTGCTTTTCGTGGAGACGTGGATGGGTATGGTGCATTTCAATATTTGTTGGGTGCATTTCGGGATGCTTGCTCAGATGGTGATGTTCTGGACATGCCCTGTAGTTCGCGTTTGTATTGTGCTGCAACCGTCTGCATTTCTGTATTGGTGTCGTCCACCGTTCCATGTGGTGATGTTTGCATTGGTGTGGTAGAAGTGTTGCGTTAGCGTTTCGTTAGCATTGCGTTGGTGTTTTGTTAGCGTTGCATTAGCGTTTTGTTAGCGTTTCATTAGCGTTTTGTTTGAGTTGTGTTAGTGTTGCGTTCGTGTAGCGTTTGTATCGCATTGTCCGTTTATGCCATTGCAGTCAGATTTTGTTGCGTGAGCGGGTTAGCGTTGCGGTAGCATATCCGTAGCAGCATTGGGTGATCGATTTGCGATTTGTGATTTGGTTTGTTGTTCAGAGGTGTGTTTGGGACATTGGTTAGTCGTGTTCATTTCTTAAATAAGGAAGTACTCGCCTTTGATCGTCCTTTCGCTGTTCTGTCTCCGTACCTCTATCCTGCACTTCTCCAGCGTGTCCTCTGAGAACACCGCCAGGTCGAATGGATCCCTCTGTTCAAAACGCTCGTACCATGCTCTGCGCATCTCGGCGTGGTACAAAGCTAGTACCCGGTCGCCGTGTTCCTCCCTTAGCTCCGGATGCATGTCCATGCCCGTGTAGAACCCCGCGAACATTCTTATGAATTCGTCCGTGAATTCTCCCTGCGGTAGCGCGTTTAGGAAGGAGCTTTTGGCTCTCATCACTTGGTCCCACGTCAGCCGCGAGTCTGGGACTGCGTTCGTGGACGCTCGTACTGTGTGCGATCCAACTAGCGTGAGTGAGGATGTGGACGAATCGACGTCGTCCATGGCGATTTGGAAACGGTTCGTATCGACGGTCTCTCTGCTGCGCTCTCTCGCTTCCGCTGTTGCTTCTGGTAGGAAGTACCAGAGGGGTACGTATTTGCGTGCTGCCATAAGTTTCTTTGCGAACGGGTGAATCTGTTGGGGAATGTATCCCACTCCGACACCCTGCTTGAAGCTGGATAGTGGCGTTCTCTTTTCATCTGCTTTCTTGGCTAGTTCGGCTTCCTTTGCCCTCTTCTCTACTTCTTTTAGTCTTTGTGCCTCTGCCGCTTCTTCCCTCCTTGCTTCTTCCACTGCCCTATCTTCCTCCAGTTGAGCTTCGTATCGTGCTCGGAGGGCTCTGTTTTCCTCTTCCCACTGATCGCGTAGGTGTTGTTCCGCTTCGGCTTCCGCGTTGATTCCTGGTGAATTCGCGTCTGCAATGAGGGCTCTGCGCACTGTCGCGTATGTGTTGCCTGAGAAGTCCGGGGTTGGGATGTTCCTGGGATCGAATTCCAGCCTTTCTGCCATTGTGTGTGTGTTTTAGAGAGTGGACGTTGTATGTTATTTGAACAAGATTGTCTATCGTGTATGTAGGATGAGTCTTCGACGGCCTCGCGTCGATGCGGTGAAGTGAGAGAGTGATTCACCGCATCACGTGTCCGTTCGAAGACTATAGTTTGCTCACACTACGCTACTCTTCGCTAATCAAACTGACAGTTTAAGATCATCTTGTCTGCCACTTCCATCTTCGCACGTGCGCCACCTCGATTTTCTATTGCTAATTTGCTATGTTGTCCTTGTTCCCAATCACCTCGCTCACGACAATCTCGGCGGTTGAAAACCTGGAACCCGTCAAAGATTTTTACTTGTTCAGACAAAGAGGATGGGTATGTTCTCCGTTGAATACCAAAGTAATGAAGTTTGAACTACATCTTCTCAACTTAGTTTTGTGCTCGAGAATACTGGTGGGGTCTTGAACCAGGCGAAATTGACATTGATTCTCACCTCAACCGCGTCTCAGGTGAGCCCAATCTTTTCAGTTTTAGAATCTTTCTCACAATATCTCATAGTGTGCGGTGATATTGAACGCCTTCTATCTGGGAGAGCGTTGACTCTGGTTCCTACGAAGGAAGTCATTGATATCATGCAGGAGCTCGCTCTCTATAATCAAAAACACTCTGTTTCCGAAAGACGGCGGTGCTTCGATGTGTGTCTAATAAATTCGCGCAGCCTTCCGTCAATTCCTAATTCGTGTATCTTAGGTTCTTCCTGACCATGAGTACCAGTACCGGCTTGTTCCTGGATCGCGAATGACGAAGCCGATTCCTCTCTTTGCCCTCGATTCCAGCTCCGGTACTTTTCAGCGATTCGACTATCCATATGACAACCTTCCTCTGTTCACTCTACGCTGTTATCCTTTCCACTCTGTAATGCACAGCGACTTTGCCTTGTCTCGTTCACGCCCCGTTCATGAAACTTCTCTTGGAATTTTCCACTTATGCACTGACTGGGCATCTGATTATCCTCATGTCGGTAGCTTCGTTACCTCTCCTCGCGTCGCTGCAATAATCGCTGCTCATGCAGCTGCTGATAACGGTGATGACCCTTATTCCGACTTGGATGGAACCTCTGGAGAGGATGATGATATGGTATCCGATTCAGAATTAGAGATATAGATGTGTCTGTCTCTATTGAAGAACCAAAGAATACTAGGCCTGTCAGTATTCATCTCACTCCTATTGCCTCGTAGCGCGAGACTCTGGAACCGGTAGCGCTTCCTGCCCTACGGAGCCGACTCTGCCCTCCTTCCCGTACGCCAGTCATTGTTTCGGACTTGAAGGATGGCTCAATTCAGGTGTTGGAGTCTAGGACTCCCATGAAGGTGGACTAGATGTAGTTTCAAGTGGCAATTCAGGTTGCATGTTGGAATCTGGATAATATATTTTCATATCCACGTCTCTTCATTCATCTTTTATGCACTTCAGTGTAACCATGCATAAAACCATATAAATCATTAAATGAAGAGATGTGGGTAAAGTTGAGTCAAAGGTACTACTACTCCCCAAGATGTCTGAGACATACATATATAACCCTTGGGCTTGTATGTACTTAAGTGATGATCAATTCTTTCATTCTAGAGAACTGGCTAAGTGGCTTCTCTAATTACAAGCCACTAGTACTATGCAAGGGACTTGGAATTGGCATTGTCCTTGAATTGAGTTTGTGAGCCAATATTTTTAGGGCTTCGCGAAAATTGAAAATTCCTTATTTGACTCAAGAAAAGACCGCGGCCGATCGTCACTGGTAAGGAAAGATCTTCGAAGCCGCGAAAAAAAACTGTTGGAGACACCAGCCTCTTGTTCGCGTCAGCATGATGTTTTGCGCGCTTTTCTCGCCAAGACTGAAACTTGGTGTAGATTCGAACAAGCCATTTGGCTCGTGCTGGACGTCGTTCACCATAGGGCATGAGGAGAGTTGTATAGAAGTGGAATAAATTTCCTTTTGTGGCATGATTACAGTATAAACTCAAATTTAGCAGTTATATTTCAGCAGCCAAATTAAGCGAAAAAAAAGGTCGTTCAACGAAACTGCCGCTGAAACATGAAATGTGATTTATTCAGCAGTCATTTCAGCGACGTTTCAGCGATCATTTCAGTGCCACTTTGACTGTCCTATTATTGATAAAATATCACGCGGTAGCCATCTCCGATTCTCCCTCACAGTTTCCTGTGCACTTGGATGGTGGGTGAATGTTTGAGATCTCAGATTTCGCTTCCGATATGGCACTTAGGGTGAATTAGCGGTACTCTCTGGTCTCTCAAGCTCACACAACGCTTGAAGTGATGCCCGGATATACCTTCTTAGCTCAAAGGTAGAGCGTTGCACTTACATATGTGAGGGATGTATTTCGCTTTTGATATATACTCAGTGATATAGTCCAGTAATCTCAAACTCACCAGAGTGCTATCTGGATAAGCCTTCTTAGCTCAGTGGTAGAGCGTTGCACTTGTATCGACGCTCCTTTAGCTGTACATGCAAAGGTCAGTCGTTCAATCCGGCTAGGAGGCACTGCCTGAAGTAGTGTGCACTGGAGTGCTATTTTTTCTCGAATTATTACTCCGCTCAGACTATTGCTACTAGTAGTCCAAATACCAGAGTCTTTCTCTCTGTGTCTAGATTAATGCCGAAGCTCACCAAAAATGCTGGAATACCACTTTGCTACAGGTTCTGTAAGTATCGAGAAATGGAGGAGCGATAAGGAAAAATGATCGTATAGAGGATTTGGAGTGTTTATTTTATTTTATTCATCGGTACTCTGCTCTGACTACGAGTCTACTAAGGGCTGAAGTCTTTCACTGTCTGGATTAATTC